AGGACAAAAACCACAAAACAAACCACAGCCACAGTTTACACTTGAATTTCATGTTATTAGTGTAGTTCAATACCTTGCATATGGGTTTGTATTTTCAAAGACTCTTGCCAAAAACTGCGTCACGTTATATCCTCTATATATTCTTTTAATGAACGACAAATTTTGTTTGAATGAATAAAATACAAAACAAAAAAGTTAATAGGTGGTGACTCATCCTTCAAGTCAGAGAGATCTAGTGATAAAATCAAAAGATCAAAGTAAAATGCACCCAATTATCTTTTATTACAATAATTAATGGTAATTTTAGAGCCTCCTTAGTATCAGTATCCTCCAGAGTGAACTGAAGAGAAAGTAAAAATAAAGTCAGCCTCTTTCAAGGACCAAATCTTGGTGATCATGTCAGCCTCTTTCAGGGATCTTTTCACTTCTTGATTTAATGAAATATGACAAAGAAGACACTTGTGTTTAATATAGTGTAGTCTTTAATCATCTTTAATCATTGTCTATTTGACTATAAACTACTTATACTTCATTTTAGTCCGAGTTCAAATCTTGATATTTTATTCATAAAGCATGATAACAGTTCTCATGATTTTTTGTGTGTTATTGGGTTATCATTTCTCATACTTGATATGGCTTCTCTGTAGTAGATAAACATAAATAAATTGACAGATATTATCAAAATGGCCCCAAATAACAGTCACATCTCCAGGATCAACAAACTCTGACTAGCTGTGTCTACTTCTACATGCTGTATTGTATATGGTCTGTTAGAAGTGCATCTCCAATAAGAAGGCATATAAACCAACAGTTGTATTGGCTGTATACTAAATCAATAAAATAATGTTTTATGTGCTTGTGTTACTAATAGAGCAATTATGGTACAGTGTATATGCTACAGTGTATCTCTATCATTCGAAAATGTTGCTAATTCAGATTTTTTTCAAAATTACATTATTATATGTATAAGGAATATTATCTTTTTATTTCTTTGTGTTTACAATTTTCACTTTTATTGAGTGCACCCAGACATGTACCACCACTCTAGTTTAAAAAAAAAAAAATAATGAAGACTAAACTCTCTCACAAATTGATATCCCAGTTTCATTTCTGATTACGGATTCAAGTCACAGATGCATCTTCTAGAAAAGCCTGCCTGTTTCCAAGAGTTCATCAGCCATTGATGAAATCTTCTTTAACGGGAGACAGTATGTTGATGTTGAAGATAAGCCCCTTCCCCCCAATGACCCTCCTACATATACACATTGATGGAATTTAAATAACACACACATCTTCACAATCTTTACTCATGCTCCTAAAACTGCTACAGTAAGATGCAAACTAGAATAAAAAGATGAAAATTAATCAATTTTATTTTATAATATTTTGCCAAGCGATAAATTACATTAAATACATAAAATATAAATGTAGATAAAAAGATGAAATTTGTATAGTTTGTTGCCATGACAATAAATATTATGATTTCCCTAAAGTGGTACATGCCTACCTCAGTGATGCAACTATTTTAATTTTTCTAATAGTGCTAATGAGTAAAAAGAAACTGATTTGTTTTTCCAGAAAAATTCATCTATCTTGGGATAAACTTTGTAAAATTTCTTGCTTGTTTGTCTTTTGTCTTGTATGTTAGAATCTGTAAAAAAAATTTATGATTCTGAATTAGGATGTTATTTCTACTTCTCAGCCTTTTATCTGCATATTATTCGAAAACATTCTTATTTCCCATGACATCATAGCAATTGATCAGTGCCATTGTCATCTTTTATAAAGTAATCTGCTCCAGTCAAAATAATTGAGCAAAGTCAAGCTGTGTTTGCAGAAAATATTTTTAACAAATGCTTTGGTTAAAAAAAATCAAATGCCATTCTGTCATTGAATATTTTGTCATTTCAGTAAATTTTATCGACCCAATGAACCGCTTTGTTCTGTGTTTACTAAGGAAATTAAAACCAGTCGTTAATAATGACGGACAGCCTCGAAGTCTTTACAGAATTAGTAATTTCATTTAGATGTCCCTGCGTAAAGAACGTGATGTTACAAGCAACATGCCTAGATATAGAATTCTAACCTGAATTGCAAGTGACATCACTCTTAATTAACCAACGGTTGACAATAGAAGTAGTGTGTACAGTCAAAGAGTAATATGGTACGGTTGCTTATGTACTGAACTCTTAGCAATGCATGCAGCGAGGGTACGCAGGGTCTATCCTATATGTTTATGTATTAACATGAAATCTGTTTTAGAAACCGCATCCCTGTTAGAAGCCCCATCTATTATTTTCCAACAATTGAGACCCAAATATTCATGTTTTGTCATATGTGTAGATGCTCTAATAGAAGCCGCATCCCCTCTGTTGCATTGTATCATTTTAATAAAATCTGGGGTTTCTAATACAGATTTTACAGTACTACATTGTGTATGGGGTAAAATATTAAAATTGAGTGTAAAGTGTAGTGATTTGATCAAAATATAAATTGTGTGTATACATTCATCATATTAATGCTAAAATAAAACATTTTTATCAAAAATGAAACCATGTTCTCATACATACACAGTTAATTCTGAGCTAAACAAATAGAAATTGGTAATATTTTTTCTTGTAATTATTAACCAGATTTTTTTGTTACAAAGTTTTTGATTCTTTCTCAATTTGTTGTTGAAAAGGTTAATTGAGGTCATGTGACTATATTTGTACAACGCATGCATACATATGTGTCCCTGTTACATGTACTACTCGAGTTGATCGATCTGATTGGTCTAGGAAATTACAGATCATTGCAAGTCGGGAATAGTTAGATGAAGCGATCACTTATAGCGAGATGCGAAAAAAACATCTTTAACACATTGTAGAACTTGGACGCATCGCTGACCGCTTTAATATGTACATACTAATTCGAAAGTTAATAACTTTTTGTCACGTTTGTGAGTCAATGATTTTCACGTTATTGACAAGTGTTGTCAGTTTCATACATTGTAAGTAGGTGAAGGTGTTTCTAGGTCACCAAAGTACTGAGTCATATCGTCGGTGTTATGTCGTCCTTTTCTTAAACATACTATTGTAATGTCCTTTCAAGATTTACGTAATACTCTCTATGATTGCTTTTATCCTACTCCCAGGGTATACTGTATTTTAGGTAGAATGCTGCACATAAGTGAAAATATTGTTATTTTTAGATCTGATATATCTTGTTACTGAGACTAAGAAAATGAAATAAAATTATGGGTCACCATACTCGGCTCAGATAAAATAGATCAATAAAATACAGTGAAAATAGCATGTTTTTTACCATTGTTTCTATGGCAAGATTATATTTCAATATCTCTTGATTTTGCTCAGTGACATCTGGTAAAAAAAGATATATATGATCTTACAAGGTACTTGTTTATGTTTAGAAGTATTAAAAAATTGGCATTATTTTTGGTGGGTCTTAACAAGGAAATGTATTTTTAATTATGTTCCATGGAAACCGCTGCAAAAATGGCATTTTATACCAAAAAAAATCAGATTGACAGTGAACCAAAAATGTTCACTTACTTTTGACTAATACTACAATGAATGATTGTAGAACAATTTCTGTATTACACATGTTTGTATAATCTTTGAAAAATTCTTATCTGTTACAGGGAGAAGCTAGCCGTGGCTCGCCTTCATCGAGAGCTGACAACAGCAAAGTCTGAGCTGCCATCGGTGAGTGATATGTATACATCGTATTTCTTAAATTTATGTTATCAAAAAAATGTTAAACAATTTTTTCTTCATTGATTTTTCGAATTTTCATATAATGCATTAAAATACCCTTGATACCTTTACACACACACAAAAACAAACATCTTTTTCCCAAAAGTTTTGTTCAAGATCTGTAACCAATAAAATTTATGTCTTTTTGTTCAAAATTGATAATTTTTGCTGATAAATCATGATGTTTAGTGCGAAAAATTAAAAACAAAAGATTTAATATTTTTTTAATTAATTTTTAATAATTTTAAACACATCGGGATTCTTTGAGGGATCAAAACTTCAATTTTTTGTTCATTTTCTTTGTACATTAATATTATTACGTATATGCATTGGGTCAATAATGTCATCGCTAGGTTATTGACCTGCATCAAACCTAGCATCAGGGCAATAACTTTTTTATTGCCCCATATTTTGTACATGTTCAAGGTTAAGAACATATGTGAAAGGAATAATAACATTTATGGCCTGCAAGCCAATTTATACCTTAGTGTGACTTTAAACATTTATTGGCAACCTAATTTCCATGGAAAAAAAAAAACACAGTGGTGCTTTTTTACGTGAGTACTGTAAGTACATTAATTATGCACTGGGTTTTAATTTTGCTAATAAGTACAATTTGCTGAATTGAATGTGAACGTGTAAAATAACTATAGAACTTATTGTTTCACGGGCAAATTTGTGATCTTAAAACCCCTTGAATATGCTGAAAACTTCAAAATAGTGAAATTAAATGTCAGTGAAAAAAATGGTTTTATAGAATTCCTTGAATGGACCTATATAGCTGTGGGAATCATAAAATGGTTTCATAGAAAAACAATATTATTGTCATTATTTTGAAAACCCTGTCCATTATTTTGTAATTTTTGATCAAATTTGACAGTGTTTTGAAAAAGTGCTATAACAACGTTGACCTTAAAAGAAATGAGAAGACCATTCGATAAAATAATTGACTTCTTTTCAGTTAGAGTGGGAATACAATGTTTGTGAATGAGAATCCAGCTGTGGTTTTCCCACTGCGAAATTCTAAGATGATTGTGTCATTACTGTATCACGCTTCTGATCTTTGCGGCAGCGCTAAATTGGCTCAGTACGCGAAATTACAGAAAGGGTGTTAACAGTATCTTAAAAAATAATCTCTGTTAGACTTTGTTTCATCAAATCAGAATTTATACTGATGCCATCGTTTGGTTCCAGCTTGCTTCTACCTTTACAAAATACAGTGCAGTCTGAGGCTGGCTTTACTATTTAACTAATTTAAAGGGGAAGTCAATCCAAACAACATAATGCTACCCAAAAAAGAGCTCCACAAATGTAGGAGAATGCAATTTACAGTTTTTTTATATAACCAACATTACGTATCTATTTTTTTTCTCAGTAACCTGCCTAAATATGTCTCAATACATAAATTTAGGGAGATACAATGTACTTAAAAATTGTGAGCAATTTTAGCAAACCCAGTTGTAAGTTAAGTTACACACAGACCTTACTGTAGATATAGTTCTGTATGGCTTCAGTTTGTATAAAATAAACACTTGCTTTAATATACTTTACAAGTTAGTCTTGCCTTCTGGCAACGAAACTATTCTGTTACATTCACATCGTCACTATAGATCCATGTTGCCCGTTCATTTACGAGCAGATTTGCAATACTTTGATAAGACACGACCAAAGATATCGCTGCGGCCAATGCTGCTTTCATCCATCAGCATCAGTTCTATAGAAGTACTTTATCTCCTTGATTTATTGCGAAGGTGGATACAATTATTTATATTAAAAAAAAGTCAGCAAACGAATATAATAATCTTATTTATACAGCGTAAAATTATGCGAGTTTAAAATTGATGTTCCCGGCCGCTAACAAACTAACTCTATGTAATCCTCATTGCATGAACTCATCCCCACTTTTATGTACATGTATGTGTATTTAATCAATTTTTCGCTTGGCATATTTCTTTTTTTCTAAAGTGAGATTCAATTGTTATTCGTGAGATGTGCTCAGAGCAGCGTGAAATATATGCTCAGCCCAGCAAGCTATAAATAGTTGAGTACATTATCTGTGTGTCAGTTTTAATAAACAACCAAACTTAAGACGTTCTTGAAATGATGACATTAATTCTAGATAACTAGGATAACTTTCAGCTGACATGTATGATGACTTTCTATCATATTCCATCGTTTCATAACAATAATAATATTGAGGTTTTTTTCTTTTATGAAAATGGAGCAATGGCGAATGCCTTCCAGTGTTTTATACTGATTGTATGCTTTGTGACAAAATATTAATAAGTTAATGTCCTGAAAGAAAAAACGTTTACTGATCCAATTATGCTTAGAAAGACATATAACTGTTTCCCTGGGGTGTGCATGGTTAAAGTGGTTGTAGATTTAAAAGTAAATAATTTTCATCCAGAGGTGAAAAATGACAATGATAATGACCTCACGATCGTACAAAGTGCTCGCATTGTGAAGAATAGCTTCTAAATTTTCATGGAAATAACTCAAATATTAACAATGACAGGAATGAAAAGATAAGTGGACAGGTTCCCCCAAGTGAAATGAACTCAATTTCAATTCTCACGCAATGTATAGTTTTAATAATGTACAACCTCCCTCTTACGTATCATTTAACGTGCTTCTGTTGAAGTGAGGCTGTAATTAAATTCCATTAATCGTTTCATTTATTGCTTGATAATTTAAATACACAAGCAGTTTAATTAACCCTATTCACCTCTGCTCAACGAGCTGCATGTAGCGATACATGTCATGTACTCTCTTCTTCTTGAAATGTATCTACTGTGACCCTCTCTTGAATAATTCAAATATCAGCATCTTCTTAATTAGTTAAAGTATTATGAAAAAAATATAAATGGTTTTAAGCACTATTGGAACTGGAACTCATAAAAGGTGCACATGTTTAACATCTGACCTGCGCTAACCAGAAACGTTTAACAAGCCTACAGTACAATGAAACCTTCGTTAGGGCTACGTGAGAGGTTTTTTCCTAAAAATGTAACTACCGTACCCTGTCAGTGCTTTGGAAATGCAGTTAACATTCTGTTGGCGACTTCTGCTAATATTATCAAAGCTATTTTGCTTACTCAACTTCTGATGCATTATTGCTTTGGAAATGTAGTTTATTAACCTTTTAAAGGTTAATTTGGCCAAACACTCACCCCAAACGTTAAGCTACCAAGCTACGCAGTTTGAAAACAGGGACTTGTGTTTTGACCTCCGTGCGTGCATCCGGACCTGTATCTGAGAAATGCCTGGACCAATCACAATCAAACTTCACATATACATGATATTAACAGGGATTGCGTTAACCCCATATTTTGCTTCCCGGACTCCAATTATTGAAGAGGGACCCAGTTTTTCAGGCAAGCTGGGGGTCCAATCTCTAATAAAGTTATTCAGGGTCAAATTTCAATTTCTTAAAATTTTGTAAGTGGGACTCGTCTTGCCGAGAGACTAGCGCAAACCCTGATTATTATACATATGCACATCAATTTATTTCACGATCTGATTCAAGATGGCCGAACGGCGTCCAATCATCAAAATCAAACATTTCTCGGATGTTTACAGATGGATTTTGTTCAAACTTGGTATATACGTTGGACATTATAGGACCTTGATGCACATCGTTTTGTTTTAATAAATGTGGTTCTAGTGCCATATCTCTGACTTGCTGTGACTGATTATGTTCAAATTTTAAATATTCATTATACATCATGTCATAGATATACAGATATATCGGTTTGACGATCCTAATAAAAATGGCCGAATGGTGGCCATTTTTGTGCTAAAAAATCATCAAAATTGTTTTAATGAATGGGCTCCTAGAGCCATATCTCTGACATGCTTTGACTGACTATGTTCAAGTTTTATATATTCATTATACATGTATTCAAAATGGCTGATTTTGTTTTAATTAATGCTGTTCCAGAGCAATATATTTCAATACTCATTTGACGATCAGATACAAATGTCAATCATTTAAATGTTAAACAATCATTATAATCATATTCCTGACATGTTTATATTCCAGCTATATTACTATAAACAAAACTATATATTTTAAATTCGATAACTAACGAGGACTGTGCCATGCATGGCTCATTATCAGTGCCTTTATGCCAAATCTGAGCAATCCTAATGTATCAGTGCTTTGGTTATTCAGTTAACCCTTCGAAGGCTAATTTTACCAAGCATTCACCTTCAAACATGAGCTAATGCTATTTTTCTTTATCAGTGGTTTGGAAGTACAGGAAAACTTCTAAAGGCTTATTGTGCCAAAGCTAATGTATCAGTGCTTTTCAAATCCACTTAAATTTCCTGAGGCTTACATGTGTATTCTGCTAAAAATAAGCTACGCTTAGTGTATCAGTGCTCTTGAAATTTTTTTTAATAAACCTGTACATGTAGGTAGGTTATGAAACCTAAGTTTATTATTGTAGCGATCAAGGGACCATAATATTGCGGGGGGTACATGCAGAGGGAATTCATTACTAGTAGGTCCATATAAGCCCTCCTTAATTTGAAGATTTGTACATACTGGTATGTTTGTTTTTTTCGGGTGAAAAGAAGAATCGAGTAAAATAAACTTCCCCTGCTTCAATTTGATATTTTCGTCCCTGAATAGACGCGTCTTTTAAATTGCATAATATTATTGATATTTCAAGTTACTTCACTCAAATTTTAAATAATGTTAACAAAATCTGTATATTCATTATTGAAACAAAATACTGGGTATGTTAAAAATTACCATTATGCTAATTGCTTCGTAGTATATGGTTTCAGCCTACAGGCTATACTGATGAGTCTTATCCGCTTTTCTGTGTCATTAGAGGGAAATACAACCGTCAATTTTTTGGCGACAGGAAGTACCTTCTCATTTTCATCCGATTCCCTCTCATTTTCTGCTTCCTACTGTTAGTTTCAGATTGTGTAACTAGCCTGTGGACATACCATGCTGTCAGTGCAAAGTTGTTTTTTCATTATCATCCTGTGGGCTGTAAAACCTACCATTCAAAGCTTACATACACAACACCTTCACTAATGTACATCCTCTATTGGAAGTTTAAACTCCAGTATGAGTATAATATACTTTATAGTTTTACAGAATCTTCGTCCGGAAAATCATCTAGAAATTCTGTCTTTGACATACTGTAAAACATGTCTTTTTAGCAAATTTATCGAGAGAACTGATTCGCTAATTCAAGATGTTGCTAATGACTTTATTATAAATTCAAAATGGCCACTAAACAACGTTGTTTTTCTCCATACACACTTTGTAAACAACACAAAGAAAACATACTGACATGATAGATACACTTTATTGAAAAGTAAATTAACACAAAAAAATAAATGTATTCATTGTGGTCATTATTTCAATGAATAAAAAACATAAATGAAGTGATACTGATATATAGTTTTTCTTTGTTTTTATGGAGATGATAACTGTGCATTTATTTTGGCGCGCGACAGACAAGTATTGTGAAAACAGGAAATGACAGTGACAAGAGAGATTTGCTAAATCAACATTTCGCTATTGTGTCATTTTACCACAATTCGCTAAAATTGCATGTCCTTTTTCAACATGTTGTACAGTATCTGCTTGTAAGGGTGAATTTTGCAGATCTATTCACTAGATCACTGTGGAATACTAGCTTCATGGCTCAGGATTTTTCAAATGTATGCCAGGACATATTCAGGACATAACAAACATCACTATGAACATTTTGAAATGCAAACTGGACATATACTTGAATGAAATTCCTGATCAACCAAGGGACCCTGGATATACTAGCCTGACTCTATCCTTAGCTGAACATAACAATTCATCGGGCGGATTCCGCACCTTGGACTGCGTACTTTCTTGCTCTAATGCGATAACTATAACTAATATTCTTTTGTAAGTTATTTCAATTTTATCAGTCAAGGAAGTCACCTGTTATACTGTAATTTACCGAAGTAAAGTTAGCCATATGTCACAACATTAGTTGAATATAAAATTAAAGGGCGGCAGTCGTTGCGCCGCGTCCTGTTCGATATGGGACTCATAGCGACGTATACAACGTGTGTAAAATACATTGTTTGTTTACATGAAATTCGAACACGCGCTGCACGACGACCACTGCGCTTTAATATAAAACTTCTCATTTCACAAACAGAAAGTTATTTACACAACTTGAAAAAATATATAAATGAATACAGAATAAACACCAGCATATGTGTGAATACAAAAAAATGTAAATCATCTTAAAGGAACACAATAATATAATCTTGATTGCGAATGAAGATATATGTTCAAGATTATTTAATTATATTCTTCGTTATTTTTAAGATGATTTAATTTTGTTTAAGTTGTCACTCATTAATAGATGGTGTATGTTGTCAGTGTAGATTGCCAGTGTAGCCCAAACACAAGCATTCCCATGTGACTGAAAGGTAATATAACAGTCTTTGGATTATAGGGGTTGAGAGAAATTTAATGTTTACAGCCCTAATGAAATGACAGCTTTCATTTTGATCATGTACAATGTATTAAATGTGATTTGATGGACTGCATCACAGTTTGCCGAATTACCTTCTCCTTGTTTTCCACATTTTATTCGTCCAGTTCACGTAAATACATATAAACTAAGTATTCTATTTCAGGCGTCGAATTTAGGCTGATTAACTGGAATATTTTGTTCTATGACGAAGTGCTACATGTACATGTGACTGGCAAATCAGATTTGATTTTAATTGTTATTTTTTTCATTTCTAGAGAGAAAGTCTAATGAAGGACTTAATGCAAGAACGAGAGTTGCGATTGGAAGCGGAGAAAAGGCTCCTGGAAATGACAAAAGAAAGCGAGACATGTCGGACGAGACTGGAGACATTACAGGAAGAGTTTGATAAAATGGAGGAGGCTGTCAAAGGGATGTTGCAATACAAGACAAAAATTGAACAACTCAAGATTGAAAAATCAAATTTTATATTAGCATATGAGGTGAGAATTAACCTTTGTCTGTGTTCCGCATATGTCACCAGCATCGGCCAGAAAAGTAGACATCTGATTTGACGATATTTGAGATTTCTGGAAAATTTGTGTAAAGTTCTTCATGAAGTAGGCATGAATGACATCAATCAAGATCGTTTTAGAGTTTCTTAGTGATGGTTCCTGCCTCAGTTGAAACTCAGGTATATTTTTTTT